ATGGACATAAATTCACTAGAACTCGTCCAGCGTAGGATGACAAAGTTAATCTCGCGAAGTCTCAAGACAATCTTTAATCCATTCTCAAGACAATCGACTTGAGAATGGTCCAGGACGGACCAAAACGTCGTCGTCGCCCCTTCACTTTCTAGTGTGTTGTCTGGTCAACTTAATCCCGCGAAGTAAAAACCTTCCATATGAGGAGAGATTGAAAAAGCATTTTTACAGTCTCTATAAAGGCGAAGTGTTAGGAGTGACATGACTGAAATGTTTAAATGTTATGAATGGTCATAACAAAATTTGATATTAATAAAGTATTAAATATAATATCACAGAATAGAATTCGAAACAATGGATCTAATTTGGATAATTTTAGATTTAGGAAAGATTTGAGTAAACAATGGTTTGGTAACAAGGTTGTGGATTTGTCGAACAGATTACCGGGTAACGTAGTTGACGTGGAATCCCTTGATTGTTTCAAGCGAAGGTCAGACATATAAAGGAGTTTAGGTGGATGTATATAGGAGCTGCCACGTGTGGACCAATAGGCCTTATGCAGTTTCCTTAATTCCTGTGTTATATCCGTCACTCTGCTTTACAAGAATGAAGCCATGTCTGACACTGTCAAGCTAACATAACACCGTCAAGTCCAATTTTTGACACCACCAAGTCTACTACCTGACACCGTCAAGGGCCACTAAGAACATAAGAACAAAGGTAACTGCAGAAGGCCTATTGGCCCATACGTAGCAGCTCCTATTTTTTAACCACCCCAATCAAGGCCATTACCCGACACCGTCAAGGCCATTACCTGACACCGTCAAGGCCATTACCTGACACCGTCAAGGCCTGACACCGTCAAGGCCACTACCTGACACCACTCACCGTATCTCTATGCAATAATAGGTGGTGTCATAAGGACGGGTGTCATGTATGCTGGTGACACTGAGGCCAACATCCTGTCAACAAGACCGCGAGATAACGCCTCAGCTGCGTCTGACGTTCGTGACTGCAACGAGGTATGTTAATATATTTATCCAATCCTAGTTTTCTATTTGCGAGAGGGTTGAGCTTCAGCTCTGTGGCTCCGTCCCTCAACTTCCAGTGTAAAAATATAGGCTGTCATACCTTCATTTCAAGACTTCCTCTGCCACTTAACCTTTTTCTAATTGCATTCCATTTGTTCACTGTTACGATAATTCCATTTTTTTTTCATTGTGGTGAGCCCGCTATCACGACATGATAAGCTTCTAAAATGAAGTGGTTATGTCTGTCAGTCAGCGTACGAACCTGGACAAACCCACCTAATCTATATGGCATGTGCATGGGGATATATTATTTAATTCTAATAAAAATGTGTCCAGATTTCAATTCTTAGGCCACAAGCAAAACTCAACATAACACACACACACACACACACACACACATATATATATATATATATATATATATATATATATATATATATATATATATATATATATATATATATATATATATATATTCTTGTAAGGCGTACCTGTTATGCCAGTTGCTGGAAGGCTTCTGTGCTGGCTAGGGTTCGAGTCTCCTGGTGGGAAAGTGTTCTAAAGTTATATATATATATATATATATATATATATATATATATATATATATATATATATATATATATATATATATATACATATATTATTTTCTGGTTTAGGGCTTCTATCCCTCTAGCTATTTTCTTAGCATCAGGGCTTAATTGAAATAGGAGTTCTCCAAAACTCATTTTCGTACTTTTAAGGTGAAGAAAAGAAGTGATTTACTATAGAGTGTATTACACTTATTTATATAATTTGCACAACGTTTCGAACCTCCATGGTTCATTCTCAAGTGAACAGATCTTACATTACTAGTTGATTTTATACCCGCACTGGGTCAGGTGATAATACAATAAAGGTGAAAACATGGGGGGATACATAAGGGATAAATGTGAGGTGAAACATAGAGGCTGCAGAAGGCTTATTGGCCCATACGAGGCAGCTCCTATCTAAACACAAAGATTAATCCAGTGTAATTGGCCTATTATGTTGGACATTGTCTTCTGTGTTGGCATCGATATGTTCTTGTCTTGTCCTTACTCTCATGGTGGGTAGAGTAAATAGTTCCGTGATTTGGGTGTTCATGGTAGGTTGTTCTATTCTTATGTGAATTGCCTCAAGAATTTGTAATCTTCTTGTATCTTGGGTTTTGTCTATTATGCAGGTATTCTTGTTCAACATTTCTCTTGTTAGAGTAATGTCATGGGCTTGTCTCATGTGATTCCTTTGGAACAGGAACTTTTAGAGTTAGCCAACTGTTGTGGCTTGCATCCTGGGAAATGGCCAGGGGGCTTTCAATAAGCCTAACAGGCTACCTGCCCACGACAGTTGGAAATTATAAGTTTCAGGCAAACATGTGACTACACAGGCCACCGGGTCTCTAATGACCTAAACGATAACAGGCAGAGATGAACGATGCTGATATCAGGACTTGTGCAGCCCCAGTGCTCTTCTCTCTTGCTTATTGTAAACGCTCTTGCTTCTGCTCCTTTGTCCTTGTGTATTACATGAATGAGTGTTTTATCTACTCCTCTGGGAGTGCCATGAATGAGTGTTTTATCTACTCCTCTGGGAGTGCCATGAATGAGTGTTTTATCTACTCCTCTGGGAGTGCCATGAATGAGTGTTTTATCTACTCCTCTGGGAGTGCCATGAATGAGTGTTTTATCTACTCCTCTGGGAGTGCCATGAATGAGTGTTTTATCTACTCCTCTGGGAGTGCCATGAATGAGTGTTTTATCTACTCCTCTGGGAGTGCCATGAATGAGTGTTTTATCTACTCCTCTGGGAGTGCCATGAATGAGTGTTTTATCTACTCCTCTGGGAGTGCCATGAATGAGTGTTTTATCTACTCCTCTGGGAGTGCCATGAATGAGTGTTTTATCTACTCCTCTGGGAGTGCCATGAATGAGTGTTTTATCTACTCCTCTGGGAGTGCCATGAATGAGTGTTTTATCTACTCCTCTGGGAGTGCCATGAATGAGTGTTTTATCTACTCCTCTGGGAGTGCCATGAATGAGTGTTTTATCTACTCCTCTGGGAGTGCCATGAATGAGTGTTTTATCTACTCCTCTGGGAGTGCCATGAATGAGTGTTTTATCTACTCCTCTGGGAGTGCCATGAATGAGTGTTTTATCTACTCCTCTGGGAGTGCCATGAATGAGTGTTTTATCTACTCCTCTGGGAGTGCCATGAATGAGTGTTTTATCTACTCCTCTGGGAGTGCCATGAATGAGTGTTTTATCTACTCCTCTGGGAGTGCCATGAATGAGTGTTTTATCTACTCCTCTGGGAGTGCCATGAATGAGTGTTTTATCTACTCCTCTGGGAGTGCCATGAATGAGTGTTTTATCTACTCCTCTGGGAGTGCCATGAATGAGTGTTTTATCTACTCCTCTGGGAGTGCCATGAATGAGTGTTTTATCTACTCCTCTGGGAGTGCCATGAATGAGTGTTTTATCTACTCCTCTGGGAGTGCCATGAATGAGTGTTTTATCTACTCCTCTGGGAGTGCCATGAATGAGTGTTTTATCTACTCCTCTGGGAGTGCCATGAATGAGTGTTTTATCTACTCCTCTGGGAGTGCCATGAATGAGTGTTTTATCTACTCCTCTGGGAGTGCCATGAATGAGTGTTTTATCTACTCCTCTGGGAGTGCCATGAATGAGTGTTTTATCTACTCCTCTGGGAGTGCCATGAATGAGTGTTTTATCTACTCCTCTGGGAGTGCCATGAATGAGTGTTTTATCTACTCCTCTGGGAGTGCCATGAATGAGTGTTTTATCTACTCCTCTGGGAGTGCCATGAATGAGTGTTTTATCTACTCCTCTGGGAGTGCCATGAATGAGTGTTTTATCTACTCCTCTGGGAGTGCCATGAATGAGTGTTTTATCTACTCCTCTGGGAGTGCCATGAATGAGTGTTTTATCTACTCCTCTGGGAGTGCCATGAATGAGTGTTTTATCTACTCCTCTGGGAGTGCCATGAATGAGTGTTTTATCTACTCCTCTGGGAGTGCCATGAATGAGTGTTTTATCTACTCCTCTGGGAGTGCCATGAATGAGTGTTTTATCTACTCCTCTGGGAGTGCCATGAGTGAGTGTTTTATCTACTCCTCTGGGAGTGCCATGAGTGAGTGTTTTATCTACTCCTCTGGGAGTGCCATGAATGAGTGTTTTATCTACTCCTCTGGGAGTGCTTAGCAACCCTCACCAAGCTCTCTTATTGCAACTATCCGCATCATTTTTAATAGCATGTAAGTAATGTTGGATAACATTACATATTAATGATATCACTTTGTCAAATGTATTTTAGATATCAGATTTGTGTAACTTGAGTATAAAGACCCAGTTTTCTTGTGAACTATAAAGCATTGGAATCTTGTTCACACTCTTGGTACGTTTTGAATTAACAGGTACATAAGAATTAACAGGTAGATAAGAATTAACAGGTAGATCAGAATTAACAGGTACATAAGAATTAACAGGTAGATAAGAATTAACAGGTACATAAGAATTAACAGGTAGATAAGAATTAACAGGTAGATCAGAATTAACAGGTACATAAGAATTAACAGGTAGATAAGAATTAACAGGAAGATACAAATAAAGATGTAATTAGTGGATGGTAATTTGTTTGTCTGAGTTGCACCGTCGCAGTGAATTTTAGCTTAAGCGATAAGTAGCTTCCTGAGACCCGAGAGAGAGAGAGAGTGAGAGTGGCTGTGTGGTGTACTGTGAGCGAGAGTGGCAGGAGGTGTGTATGTGACGGGAGTGAGGCTCGCGCCACAGTCCTCACATGGAGCACTACACAGCCACCAGCAGTTGTAAGCTTAACACCCTTCACGACCCCATACAAGTAACAGGGAAGGGTCAAGTGCAAGCAGGGGCCAGCTGTCACTAATGACTCAGAAGATCTCCTTGACCCCTGAAAATGTTCAACAGGAGCGGTAATGTTAATTGCAGTCACATGTTCAGGGACGATAATCCCCCTTCTTGGATGAACGTGTTCTGGCAGTGCATGTCCCTAGTGCTGGTGGGTGAGAGTGTTCTCACCGTCTACGTCATCAGGAGATGCCCCAAAATGAGACAAAAGACATCAACGAAGCTTGTCACTAACCTGGCCGTCAGTGGAGGCTTGTGTGGCTGTCTCGTCTTCATCTTGACCATAACTAGACTGATGCACAGGCTGAGAGAAGCGACGGTGTGGTGCATCATCATCCTCCCACGTTACTTACACATCGTCTCCGTCCTCTGCCTCTCCTGTCTGGCTCTCGATCGCTACTTGGCCATCTGTTGGCCACTGCGGTACAACGATCTACTGACGGACTCCCGCTGCAAGGTTCTGGTCTTGGGCTGCTGGGCTGTGCCGGTGTTAACGTTCATCGTACTACTCCCAAGTACCAAGTTCAGCTGTTTCCATCCCTCACCGTTCCTCACAGGGTACTTGACTGTGTTCACCGTGGCGTCCCTGGCGGTGGTGCTGATGTACGTACTGATGGCGCGAGAGTTCCGGCGGCGTCGACATGAGATGGAACATGCCAACAAAACTATGGAGGAGGACAACCGCCGCATCAGAGTGAAGACAGCCATTGATGTCCTCATTATCGTTTTCCTTAAGTTGCTCTTGGCTGTCCCTGATGTGAGTATGAGAACCAGGTGTTGGTGTTGTATGGTGAGTGACTTAGCCACTCACTTCTCATTTAATCCAGTTGAATTCCTATGCATCAAATTCTCCTTCAAACGCCACTCACTTTCATCTCTTATGTTCCAAGAAGTAAGATACGGGGCAAATAACATGTTTGTTAGAGAGAGACTAGAAATAGATGGAACACAAATGTCCCAGTTGGCACGATATCCAAGTTCAACTTTAATTCAACGCTTAATCAGCGTTATCAGCATTGATTCAAGCGTTACTGTCGCTTATTGTGACGACTGGGGTTGAGGAGGCGGTGTGCTCCGTGGTGCTGGACCAGATTACCTAACACCAGCTGACTGAACGTCTAGTCAAAATATATAACTTGAAAAGCTCGCTGTAAGAGACACCTCTGAGGTCACATTTACACGTAATTCATGATACAAAATATTTTGTTGAATATTCTGACCAAATTCTTCGTTTTTTGTTGTTGTGTCACTCTTGGAGTTGTGTCACTCTTGGAGTTGTGGCACTCTTGGAGTTGTGGCACTCTTGGAGTTGTGGCACTCTGGGAGTTGTGGCACTCTTGGAGTTGTGGCACTCTTGGAGTTGTGGCACTCTTGGAGTTGTGGCACTCTTGGAGTTGTGACACTCTTGGAGTTGTGGCACTCTTGGTGAGGCTGACTCCAAGCATCTGGCGTCCATCCTTGGATAAACAGACAGACATTCTGTATTATAGATATAGGTAACAAGTTTCTAAGCAGATAAATTTTGGCGCTTGTGGCCTCATAGTCCCAGTGTGGATGACCGGAAAAGGTAGACTAAATCATATTTGGTGTTCATCAATTAATTACTATTTTTTACACAACATTTTCAATGATGTTGATAAGAAACGTAAACGTAAATATTTAGGCTAACTTTATGTAAATCTTAGGTCTTAAGATCGACATCACAATTGAATTAATATTAAATTCTGTATATCTAAGGAAGGCTAGGTAGCATATCTTGCAAATATCTAGATATTTTTAACTCTTTGCAAAAAGGAAAATCGTAGCAAGAATTTCTTCCGATTATTTGACAATTTTGCGCATACGGATTGACATAAGATTAATTCTACCATTTAAGTGATATAATGGCGAACACGAACTTTCATTTAATCAGTATATGGGATAATAAGGTTTGAAGGAAACCCTTACACTAATACGGTACATTTTGTGCGCAGGTGATAGTGAACCTACTGAGGGTGGTGCAGGTGATAGAGTGGGACTACACCTATGTCTTCGCTCCGCTGTTGATGCTGCTCCACGAGATGATCTGCCTTCCCCTCATTTCCTGGAGAAATGCAGACTTCCGCGCCGCCCTCTACTCCAGCTGCCGCACCTTCAGGAAGACGTGTTGCCCACGACACGCCGCCAAAGCTCCCAGTGACAGTGATTCATCAAAGAATATTAAATTGGTCACCAGAGACAGCCAGATCTCTAATAACGTTTCTCAGGTCACCCAAGCCAGCGAACTCTCTAAAGATATTTTCCAGACCGCCCAAGAAAGTCATCTCTCAGATACCATTTCCTAGTTCACTCAAGACAACGAGCCAGATGAAGATATTTCCAAGTTCATCCCAAGGTCGTCAGCTTTCTGAAGATATTCCCCAGTTCTCCCAACGCAGTTATCCAAGGACTAGCAAGGGTTGACTTGAACATCTGCCTTTGTGAAGAAGATATTTGCTCCGGAAATACGACGCAGAAGGAATTGCGTGATGGAAATATTCTGAGCTGTACACAATATTAGTGAATCATTTTACTGTAGACTCTTGTGTGTACGTGTATAATATGTATAAATATGTGTTTGTGTGTACATATCACCAGCAAATTAACACGTGGTGTGATAACGTATAACCAGGAAGGAAAATGGCAAAAATGAAATACATGAGCTTCATTGTGCCAATTTTAGCACATCGTTAAAAATAAATTTTTAGTGAGACCAATCACAAAATTAGATGGGATAATTCTTGTATAATTTATCCCCAACGCTGTGGTTCTAAAAGGGAAAATAATAGAATTTACTTTTATAAACAATAATCCAAATTTTAATGTCTCCTCAGGGCAGTGGTTACCAGATTTGGTGAGTGTTTATGTAACAAGGAAGTTATTACCCAATGCTTACACCTCCCCTCAGGACACCTGACATGACGCCATAAAAGCAGCTATAGCCACCAGTCTCGCTCACTGCTGAAGAGGGTCCCCGTTTGGGACCTAAATATACAGTATTTAATATGATATTAACTATATAGTATATTTACAATATATTTATACAACATATATACTGTAAATATGCAGTATATTAAGCATGTATCTTTACATTTATGTTATTCTTCCCTTTGGAAGGAAGCTGAAAAATTAACTCTCCAAAATTCACTTTGCAATTTACACGTGATACTTTACACGTGTCGCTGAAGGTCGCGTTTCCTTCAATCTCTCTTGAGCATCTTCAGAGGGGAAAGTTGCTGCCCAGTAGCAGGGATTATATTATATACACTATGTTTATGCATCTTGTTTAGGGAACCACACATTTACAATGCTATCCAGCATATATACATTTTTCTTCTGTCCTCCATGGACAGATCTGTTAAACATATAGTTCAGTGATTTATTGAACAATCAACCACAGAAGGTGATTGTAGTGATAATAAAATGCTAATCTAACCTACTTAGATAAATACACAGATTTACGTCTGTCCTACATAAACAGTGTTCGATGTGTCTTTTTACATAATGTTATTGATGTGTATTTACAAAGGTGAAATACAGTTCTGACCAGTTTAAACATATCCTGTATATACATGCATACATATATACATATACATATTGTGACGAGAATCTGGAATAGAGCAGTAACTATTCTGGCAAGTCTTGTGTCAGTCGCACATTAATAAAAAAAACCAAAGTAAACAAAAACTGCTTGATACCTCTGTGGTGTGAGAGCCGCGGGTAAAAAACAAAAAGAATAAAAACTTCAAACATTTAATATAATATAAAATGACTAATTTTACACAAAATGACAAGTAACAATTAATGAAAACAAAACCTCTTATCCACTTGGTTTACACACAATCAAAAGAGAAATATTTACATGTGAAATTTACGTTAAATAACAAAGGTGAAGGCAATATTTTGTACAAATTAGCTATGTGCGTCTACCGTCACCCAGAGGCGAGAGTAGATGTTACAGCTATGAGCACCCGAAGGGTAGTCTGTTGAGCTAGACGCTGGCAAACCTTTATATATGGGGCATGACGTCATAGTTGGCACGAATTCTGGAGTTTTAACACGCAGCCGGCAGTTAAACGATCGAGAAGTGTCGTTAGCTGGTGGCGTCTGGTCCACCTCTGAGACAGCAGGTGTCTCAGGTACTGGAGGGGGGGGGGAGCAGGTGTGTCTAGACACCAATACGTTTGAGCACATGTTGTTGTCGTTGATGTTGAATCTTGAGGTCGGAGCATGCAGATACGTCGGTGAAGAAGCGGTAAAGGAACAGGCAGGGTCTACTGCTAGGCAGGAGCCAGATTCACGAAGCAGTTACGCAGGTACTTACGAACGTTTACGTCTTTCCCCAATCTTTGACGGCTTTAGTTACATTTATTAAACAGTTTACAAGAATGAAAACGTCCCAATCAACTTTTGTTATTGTTATAAACAGCCTCCTGGTGCTTCGGAGGTCATTAACAGTTTAATAATTGTAAACAAAGCCGCCAAAGATTGAGAAAAGATGTATAGATTCGTAAGTGTTTGCGTAACTGCTTCGTGAATCTAGCCCCAGATTACCATAACAATATATATATACATACAAACACATACACATACATACACATATACACACATATATATACATTTATGCCTCTCCTACTTTGATATTGTAAGATAGCTGCTATATAAACCAGTATGATATTAATCACTTAACCACTGAAGGTGATTAGGGTGCTTTTACAAGCTCAGGTTATAGTTACATCACAAACACTGTATAACCGATGCATTACATTGTCAGTCTTGGGTACAAGTCTAATATATCATCAAGTGTTCCAGTATTCATATAGTATTTACAGAGTTCAGCATACCTCAGCCCAGGAGAGCAAAAGTCAGTCACTATGGGACATTCTACAATATAATGTTCAAGGGAGTGCATGTTTTCTCTTTCACAAAGTTGACAAAGTAACGCAGCCTAGGAAGCGTTTTGTGTAGGGGTTACAGAACGATCTTGTCCTCGCGGACATGTCTGAGTCTTGGTCCTTAAACCATTATGCGGGAGGAATTTTTAAATATTAAAACTTCCAAGATTTTTGTCACTATTTTATTTTCCCCCACAGAAGTGTTGATCATTTGAGAATGTTGATCACTCGAGAGGGAGTTGTATATTGGTATTGGACTGGTCTAGTTCGCTGCATTTGCCAAGTGATCGTTAATGCAGTAGTCTGTTTGGGAATGAAAAACACTTTTCAAATGATTTACACAGCCCGTCCTCAAGCCAGGCTCGTTAAAGCTGCGGCCGTCCTCCAAGACGCATTCGTAAATATTCATATTGTGTGTTAGAAATAAGTTTGTTCTTATTTATATATTTATTTTATTATGCATTAATGTTCTGTATATACTTAGGCGTAGATAAGGTGCTTAGAATCTTTTGGCGATTATTTGTATTCAACCCGTCCTCAGTCTATGTTCATTCCATCCGGCGGTTGACCCCCAAAGACGCATTCATAAATTTTAACATGCTGTTGATTCAAAATAGGAATTTTCTATAATTGTTGTTCTATAACACTGTTGTCCCTACAGTGTTGCACCCACAGTGCATCTTCGACAATTTCAGTCTCTTCAGAATGCGTGTGGTGCATAGTAGTGTTTCCTGGAGAGCTCATTAGTGGTGCTTTGTTCCACCACTACCCTACACACTCACACATACAAGTGTTCCACCACTACCCTACACACTCACACATACAAGTGGAAATTAACTACAGTACTTTAGACAAAATTCACTGTGTTTCCAAAGAAGTAGAGAATAATGCAAAGTTGAGTGCTAGGTATGTAGACCAAGGGCTTGGGTATCTACTTACGAAACCGGTACAGCTTTCCTCAATCATGACAGGTTAATTTGTATTTATTAAATTGTTTAGGAGTTGCGAAGTTTTAGAAGATTGTCCATAATGATAATAACCTTTGTCGAGAACGACCTCGCAGCGTTTCCAAGCTTGTAAACTGTTTATTAAATCCAGACTAAGCTGTTGCACTAGAGAAAACATGTATAGCTTTGGTCGGTGGACAGGTGAATGTTTGATCAATCTTGGCCCACTTAGCGTTCATGAAAATAAAGGACCTACCAAACCAGTGCTGAGTGGTGTTATCACCAGTGAAGTACGGGATTTGACCCTGAATTATTTTGAGGGTCACTATCTCACTCATGGCCTCGACGAAGACAGGAAGCCGACGGTTTGTCAAAGGCCCCCTCCCCCCCCCCCCCCGCCATTCCTTACTATAAATAAAGAGGTACCATACAGTAAATTAGAAATAATTAAACTTCAGTGTTATGTTATTTCTCTTTTTTCATATGAATAGTTTGTATAATAAGGTGTTCAGTACATGTAACATTAGTGACTCGAGGGTTGGATGATATTGGTGCAGATGTACCACATCTGCACCGGTGGCTGAGCGGACAGAACACTGGACGCGTGATCCTGCGGTCCCGGGTTCGATCCCGGGCGCCGGCGAGAAACAACGGGCAGATTTTCTTTCACCCTGATGCCCCTGTTACCTAGCAGTAAATAGGTACCTGGGAGTTAGTTAGCTGTCACGGGCTGCTTCCTGTGGGTGGAGGCCTGGTCGAGGACCGAGCCGCGGGGACACTAAGCCCCGAAATCATCTCAAGATAACGTCTTCCCCGCCTCTCAATGGGCCTGTGAGCAGTTCTGTTTTTCAATGTTCAAATATGGCAACCTATGTCATATCAAAACCGGATATCCTAGCACGCTGAACTGTGGAATAGCCCAGTTGTGTTGTTTACAAGCTCAGGCGAGCGTGCTCTTGGCAACTATGTAATCTTACTGTTGCTTATAACCCTACCGAGGCTCTAATTCTACGGCTAAACGATACGTCCACAACTGTGTTATTTACATATTGGAAATCTTGTTTTCTGTTGTAAGGGGAAAGGACGATGGCGTACAACCGCTCAAGCTTTGCTACAGTTTATATAATTTAACTTAAACCTATTCTAACTAAACCCAACTTAACCAAATCAAAATGAAGTTAATGTTAGACAAATGGTATTTAAGACATGACCTTTCACAATCTTAAATCCTCACATCCGCCTGCCCAACCATCCTTCACATAGCGTCGACTTCGTCTCTCTTCACTGGGCAACCCGTTCTCGCACTTGCTTACAGTCAATATTGGCTTATTTAATAAATGCATATGTGACATACTAATTGATTGTGAATATTTTAGTTTGCCTTGAAAAGCTTCATAGAAAACACCAACCTCACCTAACCTTCTTAGTATGTTAAGCACTGGGTAACCAGAATGTGGTGTTGTAATAGATTTTGAGTCACCACCATCGTTCACAGAGCGAGGGAACTGTCAAAACTCCCACTCTTGGGTAACACTGACCCTCTTCCCCACTCACTCGCGTTAGTACAAGAGTCTTGTCAATAGTCAGTCAGTCAGTCAGTGTCAGTCAGTCAGTCAGTCAGTCAGTCAGTCAGTCAGTCAGTCAGTCAGTCAGTCAGTCAGTCAGTCAGTCAGTCAGAAAGTCTCAATCTTCAGCTCTTATTTTGAGTTTAACCAAATCTAATTTATGCTCAACACGAGAATAATATATATATATATATATATATATATATATATATATATATATATATATATATATATATATATATATATATATATATATATATATATATATATATATATATATATATATATATATATATATATATATAAATATATATATATATATATATATATATATATATATATATATATATATATATATATATATATATATATATATATATATATATATATATATATATATATAT